ATAGGAACTGGAAACGGAATCCAGGGCAGATGATCCCTTCAGGACCAGTGGTGTGAGTGGCGATACTGGGAGGGTAGAGGGAGAGTGGGTTGGAAAGGGGGAACTGATTACAAGGATCTACATGTGACTTTCTCCCTGAAGGACGGACAACAGAAAAGCGGATGAAGGGAGACGTTGGACAGGGCAAGAAATAATGAAATAATAATTTATAAATTATCAAGAGTTCACGAGGGAGGGGGGGCGGGGAGGTAGTGGGGTGTGGGAATTAGCTGATCCCAGGGGCTTAGGTAGAGAGCAAATGTTTTGAGAATGATGAGGGCAATGAATATACAAATGTGCTTTACACAATTGATGTATGTATGGATTGTGATAAGAGCTGCATGAGCCCCTAATAAAATTATTTTTAAAAATCAAAGGATGTATTGCATGGGGCAAATACGCTGCAAAAGACCTCTTTAAAGTGTTAAAAATAAAAAAAAATTTTTAAAGGGGTCCAGAAGAGTTAACTGTACAATGAATACGAATCAAAATGGACTCAGTGGCAGTGGTTTGAGGTTTGTTTTGAATAATTAATAAGGGTCCCTGCTGGTGTAGTGGGTTGCGTTTGCTGACCACAAGGTCGGTGACAGTCAAGCCCACCAACTGTTCTGCAAGAGAAAGGTGAGACTGCTCCCATGAAGATTCACAGCCCTCCGAAACCCACTGGAGAAGCTCCATCCTGCCCTATGGGGTCGCTCGGAGTTGTAATCGGCTGATTGGTAGTGAATTTGTTACAGTAAATGGAGATTCAAATGCTCTGAAACCACGAATGAGTCTGTCAGAGTTCACACTCATTTAAATGTTCCAGTTATGTAAAAAGATACCCCAACTTCACCTGTACACAGAAACTTTTAAAAGTCAGTCTTTTTCTTAACAAGAAGCTTAGAATCAACCTCACCTCTGAAACATTTAACTTGAATTATTGTTGGCTTGTATATATTCTAAAGTGTTCTGAAATGTTGCCTGCCTAATTTGAAGAATTCGATCTTTAAATTAGGATAAATTAGGTATAAAAGAATTAGATCTTCAAATTAGGTATAAAAATTACAATGAAGTCTTATACTTTGACACTAACTACTCCTCATACCTTCTGTAGATGTGTCCTTTCAATTTTCTTATTTTCTACTCTTCTCAATCTGTGTTTCTGCGTTCCAGTTTCCAACTTGTACCCTCTGTGTACACTGTACAGACCCCATACTAGAAAGAAAAACCAGCTGCCATCTAATTGATTCTCACTCATAGTGACTCTTTAGGACAGAGAAGAACTGCCCCTTTGGGTTTTCAAACCTTTCAATCTTTTAAAGGTTTCAGAGTGGCTCATGGGTTCGAACCACTGACCTTATGATTAGAAGCTAAATACATAACCAACTAGCCATAATGGGTCCATATATACAACTTCTTTTGGAAGTCCCTTAATACCTAATTCTTTTTCAAATATTTCTTATCTCACCCTATAATTTGAGGGCTGAATTCTCATTCAAACTAGCATGGTATAACTTAATAGCTATATAGTGGAATACCTTATCTAAGAGACTAAAGCTGGTGTGGTCTAACCATGCAATTTTTTGAATCGGTGCCCCAAATAACCCCAGGGGCAGGTCTAAAACCCAAGACACCAAGAGCAAACCTTTTTTGGTTGGGCTGGGTCATGCTCACATGCTCAGCTCACGTTAGTCTTCAGAGTGACAGCCTTGCTCTTCAGGACTTGACAGATCTTATGCAGATTTGCCCACGGGAGGACAGGTTTGATTTCCTGACTGGCTTCCATGGATGTTGTGGATCTAAGCAAAACTTAAACCTTAACAACTTCTATCTTTTCTCTATTTACATGATGTCTGCTGGTCCAATTGCGTAGATTTGGGTTTTCTTTACATTGATTTGCAATCCATATTGAAAGCTACAGTCTTTGATTTCAATGGCACTGTAAGTAAAGGTGATGAGACTTTCATTGTTCAAATGGGTAGTCACTAAACAGAAAAGTTCTTGTTCTTTGTGAGCCAATCGCTTTCTAACTACAACCACAACCTGCCCTTCCAAAAAAGGTTAGAATGTTTATCTTCTGTTGAGTCAGAGGGGCTGGGCCGGAGAAAAGACCAATTCCATTAGATCTTAAATTTTGCATTTCTGGAGTTTGTGATCATGGGATTTTTTTACTATATACTTTGATGCCTGAAAAGCATTGATCCTACTTTCATACATATATTTCTGTAATAAAAAAATAAGTAAATTGAAATTTTTGAATTTATTATATTAAGACTTGGGCTTCTATATTGAGCTTACTTCTTTTATGTAATTGATTAAACATGAACATTTTTATAGTTACTAGCTAATGTGTAAGATTCGGGGAGATGTTTCTGAATGAGATGAATCTGTACACCAATTACCTGTCGGAGTCACCTGGGGATCTTGTGACACTATAGGCTTTGCTTCAGTGAATGGTCGTGGAA